AGAGACATAACACACAACAAAATTAGAACAAAAAGAATTACCTGAAGCTACACTATCTATGTAATAGAGACTTCCAGATTCCCTACCAATCCCCACAATCTCCTTTGATTGTAAAACCTGAATTTTGCAACTATTTTCATCAAACACAACCTCACACTTACTAGCCTTACAAACTTTATGAACATATATGAAGTTAACATTAAACTCAGGAACAACAGAAACATAAAAAAGAGTTAAGGAATTGGAAATATTTAAATTCCTAATTGTTTCCAATTTTAGAATTAGTCCCATTAAGATGACTAACAAGCAAATTAAATTTGGATACATCCACAGTATCATGCAAGAGAGATTCAGAAGCTATTATATGTTTATTAGCTCCTGAATCAACAATCCATTTAGTTCAATTAAAAGAAGAACTACAAGCATTAAACAAGCAAGTACATGCCCTATTAGCATGGGTAGACGCTTCCTCATTACATTGTTTTTCACTAATCAATCGAAGAAACTTGAAGTATTGATCTTTAGTAAGTTGATGAAACTCAGAATCTCTAGATTCAGATGATCTAGAAGACACAATGGAAGAATTAACATTAAAATTTTTAGTTTTATTATTTTGACTAACTTCATTTCTTGGTTTAAAATCTCTGGGAAAACCAATTATTTTATAACAACTATTAATGGTATGTCCTTATAAACTGTAATTCTTGCACTGAACAACCTGACCCTTGTTTTTATTTCCAAAATTACCAGAAGAAAACCTATTATTAAATTTACTATTAAAAGCACTAGGTTGACTCTTAGAAGCAGACTGAAAATCAGTAATGAGATACATTTATTTGAATGGACTCTTCAGGAGATATAATAGAAAAGGAAGTTTTAACATTAAGAAGGGGATCCATGAGAAGAATATGAATTTTAACTTGGTTATAAGACTCATCAAGACCATTGAGAAATTGCATAAGTTTCATGAGTTTAGCATGATCATAAAGTTTAATAGTAGCCTCACAAGTTCACTCTGTTTGACTAGTCAAACCATCAAATTCTTTCCATAATGCATCAAGCTTATTAAAGTAATCAGACACAGAGATACCATTTTGTTTCAAAGAGTTAATTCGTTTATGTATATTAAACACAACTCACCCATCATATTTGTTGTATGTTTCAAACAGATTTTCCCAAATTTCTTGAGCATTATCAGAATATGCATGACTAGCATAGATAGAGTCATTAATGGAGGACAAAAGCCATAAACAGACTATAACATTAGCATTTTCGTACTTAGACACTTTACTAGCATAAAAGACTCCTTTTTAAAAGTGTCATCAACAAATCCTAACTGTTTCTAGCTTTAAGGGCACTACACATAGAGCTTCTCCACAAACGAAAATTTTCATTACCGGTTAGTTTAATTGTAACAATGGTAGTAGTAGTATTATCAGATGGATGGAGGTAGAGAGGATCATCGAAGTTAGTCGAATCATCCTTTCCACTTCCACCCGGAGGATTATTAGGACCGACCATAGAGATAAGAAAAAAAACCACAAACAACAAATATACAAACAACAAATAAAATTCACAAAATAATGAAATAAACTGAGTGACAAACAGACAACTATATTGGTGTCTAGATGGTCACCACATTTTTTGGGCACCAAGACAACCACTATAGCATCAAGAAAACCACAAAAACAACAAACTGATACAAAAAACAACAATGAACAGATACCAAATCAGTGATTCACAGATAGTAATCCACAAAGCACAATATAATTGTTCAAAGCCACTTTCGATGATCGGACCAGGATCTCCCACGTCTAAACTAAAATAAAGGAAGAAAGGAACAAGAAACGCTCACAAATGTTCAAAGCCACTTTCGATGATCGGAGATGACCGCTCACCCCCATAGGGTTTGTTGCTTGTCATAGTTATTTCAGACACACGTCCTTTCCCTGAAAGAGTTACTTTAACCCTAAAAATTAGGATTAGGTGAGCAGACCAGGAGATGAAACAACCTCACACGAGGAAGGTTACAAACCATAAATTCTTCACGATCGGTAAGATCTTCCACCAGAACTTCAAGAACAAAACAAAAAGTTTGCAGTAGCTAGTTTCTTTAACAATAATTAGATCTAAAAATATCTGATGAAAAACGAAACAAGATCTAACATGATCGATTTCAAGAACAGCAAAATCGAGTACAATTAAAAGTAGAACAGAGAACGACGAACACAAACCTATAAGAATCCTTCAACATATTTTCGCCGAACAAAAAACTGATACCATGTAACAAAATATGAACTCAACAACTCAATACATTCCCAACATCGACATTTTATTCACTATGAAACATTCGGTTTTCATCATACAAATACAAAAGAAAAACTCACACTACAATCCACACTCAATCATTCAAACATTTACAAAACAAAACTACACAGAAGATATATAGCTGTGAAACCCTAATATGAAAACCCTAATCTGGAGACGAAGAGTAAAAACGAGAGAATATCAATAGGACTTAACGTTTGAGTTATGAACGAAATAAGCAGAAGCTGAACATTAAATATCTAGGGGAATATACCAACCTGTGGATTGAGTTTGGATCCACAAACCCGTGAACTCTTATTACGTGCATAAAACTTACACAAACCACCCCACAAATACAAGAACTTTACACAATATATCTTGTAATCATAAATTAAAACTCACAACCCCACAAATGATAAGTTTGTATTTTTTATTAATATTTCGACAAACATCCCCGACGAGGTGGATTCGTCTTATTCCTAAAAAAAGTTAATGCTTTTGCTTGGCATTTGTCTCTTGATAGACTTACTACTAGAGTTATTCTTGATTTTCGAGGTATTGATGTGACTTCCCTTTTATGTCCTCTTTGTAATTTGGATGTCGAGTTGGCTAATCATTCATATGGAGATTACAAAATCTCTGTTTATCCGGAATTATCAAGGAGCTCTTCGAAGGAATTTTCTATATTTCTTGGTGGCACATTTGGAATTTCACAAATAATTTACTGTTTGGGGTTTCTAAACTAAGAGCTTCGTTGAAATTTTAGAACATTGTTACTCAATCATTTTTGTGGTGTAATGCTAAGTCGAAAATAAACATTAACCGGGTTGGTGGTGGCAAATACTCAACTAGCTATTATGTAATTTTTTTGTTGTTTCCTGTCTCGTTTCTTGGTAGGCTGAGTTTTTTTAATATATCTGTCATTTGAAAAACAGTCACATGCACATGTCATTTTTGGAAGATTCTCCTTGATTTATTATTATTATTACTATTATTATTATTATTATTATTATTATTATTATTATTATTATTATTATTATTATTATTTTACATCCTTTCTTGTCCTTCTTCTAGGAGTGCCGATTAGAAGAACTCTTAAGTCTTGAAAGAAACTTTTTAAAATTTCAAACCAGAAAGAGCTAAATCTTCATTGTCTTTCGATTCTTCTTCTTTGGGATCCTTTGTCTTTTTTCTTCAATAACACTAGCTTAAAGAGCTAATGTCATCTCCTTTTCTTTGCCCCTCTCCTTCTAAGATTTAGAACTAATTAATTCAAGAGTTTTCAAGATCCCAACCAACACTTCCATTTAAGAGTTTTAAGATCAAATAAGCTAAATGTATTTGATGTCCATCTAAGTTCTAACAAAGAAAAGAATCTTGTAGGTCAAAATAAAAGCTAAACACATATTTTGCGAAAAAAACCCCTAAAATATTAATAGACAGATTCATATCAACTATTATTTGAAAAGAGTGTTGTTAGAATAAAATACCTTACTGTATTAACAATACATAACTCATATGGCAAGTAGCTAATTAGTCTAAGATATGTTTCTTAATCTTGATAAATGATAACTTAATTTTTTTTAGACCTACATGTATTCGAAAATGAAAGGAAAACAAATGAGACCAAACTTGTAAACGATTATGGGGGTAAGAATAAAAAAAAAGGGGGGGGGGGGGGTGTCAGATTTCACTCACTTTGCTTATTAAGTAGTTTTTTTGTTAGAATAAAAAAGAAATGCCATACATATCTATTACTATTAACTTCATTCAATTAAAAGAGAGAAAATTCCAGAAATGACCAAAAAGAGAGGTGGTTTGAAGAAAATAACCAAGGAAAAACAGATTTTGGAAAATGACCAAAGGATCCGCAGAGCACCCTCTGCGGATCCTCTACGGCTCTGCAGAATCTTTGTTTTTTGATTTTTTTTATATTTTTTTCTTTTTTTTCATTCATTTTTGTTTATTAATATTAATTTTTTTTTAAATACACTAATACCTTATATGATTATTATGTAAAAAAATTGACAAAAAAAGTTAAAAATAATGAAATGTTTTATGTGATACATTTGCTACTGATGTATGTTTTCCATGTATTTTTACTGTTTTGTATTTTATGTTATATGGAATAAAGTAGAAGTTAACTCAACTGATTTCGTAAATAACCTAATACAAACCAAATACATATAAATAACGTAATACAAACCGGTGCATATAAATAACCTAATTTAAATTATACAAATATTCCATGTTTTTATAGGTTACAAAACATACTTTAGAAAATATAAACATACAAACTTCATAATAAACATACTATGAAATAAACTTCATTCATTCAAATCGAACCACAAAAACTTTGATTTGTTTTCGTATTCTGTACATGGGTTTTTTGTTGTTCGTGTCCCTAGGTTTACTGTCGCTTGCGTCCATTGGTTATCTAACTGTTGCTGCCATTGGTACTCGATGCTACCCTGCCATTGGTTCTGTGGCTCTTCATGTGGTTGGTATTCGATCACTTGCGTCCATTGGTTATGTGGCTCCTACTGCAATTGATGTTCGGTCTATTGTGTCCATTGGTTGTCTGGGTGCTGCTGCCATTGATGTTCAGTCTGTTGTATCCATTGGTTGTCTGGCTGCTGCTACCATTTTTGTTTAGTATGTTGTGTCCATTGGTTCTCTGGCTCATGCTGCCATTAGTTTTCGGTTGCTTGCGTCGGTTCCTCTTCTTTCGATTTTGTCCAACTGCCTGACGCCCCAGTACATTTTTTACTTTTACTTTGGTTATTTGGAACAATTTCCTTATACGTCCTTGTATTATTAGTTGTGCTATGGCATCTACTACACCTTCTTATTTTTGGTTCCTCGCCTTGAGAGGGAATACGATTGGTGTTTTTTGGTCTACCGGCTTGTCGTATTTCCATCACAGGAGGGTTAATAACCATAAGGTCATCTGGAACCTCCCAATCACTAAGTTCTGAAAGAGGGTATATGGCCTGCTCATACGTTCTTCGATATGTTTCAATTTTATAAGCATCTATAGCCATATGCCCACGGTGATCAATTTTCAAGTGCGTTAAAACCATTATCACATGACCATATGACAAACCAGTTAGTTGTCAATATATTCAAGAACAAGTCTTTTCCCTCAAATTCACTATGCCACCACTTTTGAAGTCATGCACTTGATATGTTGTATTGTCAACACCAGATACCGACCATCCTTTAATCCCCTCTTTATTTTTTTTAACCATATCTTCAGTCCACTTCGAAAGCATTATTGTACTTTTTTTTTTGTTAAAACAAACATATATCATCATATATGACATTTATCATATAACTTAAAAATAAACATAATCATACCTGCAGCCATCCGTCGTTTGTAAAACTATTTCTACATAAGTGCGCGAAAGAACTCAAGAAGTGGTAATATAGTCAACTTCCTTGCTTTATTTGATACAACATTCATGGACTCCGCACTATTTGAGGTCATATAATCATACCTCGTGGTAAGGCAATACGCTCTGGTCCATTTCTCATGTGGAATTTGACAGAGATATGTTGCTAATTATCTCTTATATTACGAATTCTCCCCCAATAGAATTCAAACTCAGTGGCTTTGTAAGCTCTTACCAGCTTCCAAAACAAAATTGTTGTTTTTTTGTTTTTTCCAATGGTGTGGACTATGTTTCCTTAGATGAAAAGCACACAATCCATGTTGAGCATTTGGAAAAACATTTTGAATACTTACAGTAATTGCGGGTGCCGTATCTGTGACCATTGTCAGAGCTTCCACATCACCAATGTATTCATGTAGTTTTTCAAGAAACCATGTCCAAGAATCTGTAGTCTCTTTTGGGAAAATTCCATATCCAATAGGCAAGATCTGATTGTTGTCATCCATGGACACTGCATACAATATGGTGCCTTTGTACTTTCTGTAACACCCGAATTCTCAGGTATGGGTTCAAATGAAAGTTACTTGATTTTAAGACCTACTCGACAAGTCTGTTGCCCTACTCATCGAGTAGCAGCGTGGTGGGATCGCATATTTAGTGGATTACTCACCGAGTCCATAAAGGGACTCGACGAGTAGTAGCTAGCAGATGAAACCCTAACTCCCAAGTTTTTGCACCCTATTTAAAGAAGCATAAGCCCCTTTAGCCTCTTTGCATCCCATTGAGAAACTCTAATTCGTGTGGTGTTCATCCTTGTATGTCTTGATCTTTAGAGATGAGTTTTTGGAAAAGGGAGAGATTAGAGGATAAGAGATTAGAAGCAAGGAAGGTGTGGGAATCAGATATCTACCTCAGTAGGCATCACTTGAAGGTATCAAGTCACCATCTTTACTTCATTTCCTCCTAGACCTCATTTGGTTGAGAAATAGGGCTTTTATGGCATATTGAGATAATAATATGGGTTATGAACTAGATCTAAAGTTGTAACTTTAGATCTGGACCTTTCTTGGGTTCTAAAGTCAAAAAGCTATGAACTTGGCCATGTATGAAACCTTCTTTGAGTATGAAACCCCCATTGTAAGCTTCGATTTGACATTTAGGGTCTTTGTAGCCATGCATACACGTAAAGTTTGAGACTTTACGTGAAATTCATGCCTTAGAAGCTTGGATCTGTAGTTTGGAGCCATTGCATGGCTTAAAATGAGTCTGTATGGCTTATGGACTGAAGGAACTCGGCGAGTCGCAAGGGCGACTCGGCGAGTCGCAAGGGCGACTCGGCGAGTCATATGAAGATAAGCCTGGACTTGATGAGTTGGATGAACAACTCAGCGAGTCCGATGAAGATTGCCTTAGGACTCGATGAGTGTATGAACAACTCGGTGAGTCGGTTAAGTTTTCCCCTAATTTCGTATGCGTGTGTAACCGTCGTCGAGTTGCAAGAAGGAAAACTCAACGAGTACCCTTGGAGTTCGATTGTAAACCAAAGGAACTCGACGAGTCACTCCATGACTCGACGAGTGGACACATACTTCAAGGAACTCTGCGAGTAGCCGAGGGGACTCGGCGAGTAGGGTCAACATGGATTGTTAATCTTGACTGAGGACTTTGACTTGGACCAGGGTCTGATTAGTTGGTTCTTGGGATACCTTGAAAGGTTGGGAACTTATGGGTATAATTTTATTATGGTAATAAGTGGTGGAGCTTTTGACAGTGATCCGAGAGTTGGAGTTCATCTACCAAGTCGACATCTGTAAGGTGAGTTATCCTCACTATATCCATAGGGTCTACGGCACCAATGTCGGCCCTTAAGTTGTTATTGTTATGATGTACTACATGTGGTTATGATCTGTTAGATCAGAATCAGGATAGATAGTATATTATGCTCTTATATCCATGGGGATTGGTATGTTAGCAACCTAATAGGTCGGTACTCTAGTTACGAGAGATTTCTCTGATTGATGATCAGTGAGTTATACATATGTTTGATGTTTGTATATGCCAGTATATGATAGTTATGTGCATGTTGTTATTTGCTTTTCAGTTGGGTTGAGGCGGTCCTACTTTGTGCTGAAGGCCAACATACCCTATGAGTGGTCCAGGGAGACTGTAGGCCCACTTGGCAGTCCAGTCATGCCGAAGGCTCGGGATAAGATCAGATAGATTGAAGGCCCAGTAGGTCGGTCCAGTCAGGCCGATGGCCTGGTATGCATGTTGTTACTTATATGGTATTATCAACGTGGTATTGGTATTTTGGGGGTAGCTCACTAAGCTCTCGGGCTTACAGTTTTCAGTTTATTGTTTTAGGAACTTCAGGAGATCATGGCAAGGCGAAAGCGTGACCGTACCGCTCCTCATCCTTTTGATCTAGTTATTGGGACACTCTGATGAATAATGATTTAAAAACATTTTTGTAAACAAATGCTATTTGGTTTTATTTATGATTGAAAAAGTTTAAATTGGCGTAAAATTTTTGGATGTTACACTATCCCTTCAAATGAGCATCATCCATAATAATTACTTTATTACAACACTCTGTGAAATCACATATCTGCAACAACAATATACAAACCATTAACATATCAACAATATAATTTGTTTATAAATAGTTAAGAAATTAAAAAATATATTTAGAAATATACTACCGCGCATCCAATAGCGAAAAAGCAATACTCAAAATGATCCTCCAAATTAGTTTTTATGTACACCACAGTACCAAGATTATGCTTCTTCAGATAGTCAAAATAAACTGGAAGTTTGGAGAAACTTTCTTCGAGGGTCCCTGATGTGTGTAAAATGCACTGGTTTTATTCCTACTTTTAAATTACAAATTTAGCACACAAAGGCAGTGAACCTGTATTTTAGTGGTATAGTTGGATAAGTAGAGTGTCGAACTCAGGGAACGGAAATTAAACTAATAACTAATTTTAACTAACAAGTAATAAAATTAAAGGTTTTCCCTAGTTTTACAAGACTAGAAACTTAAACCACCACCTAGCTAGTGATTAACTAAGCAACTAAAAACAAGTAAAAATTCACCAAATTTGATAAAGAGATTTTGTTTATGTCCAACCAATTCACTCCTATGGTTATTTGTATAATAGAATGATAAATTAATTGTTATTGGTTACCAACTATAGTGGTTAGATTCATGTTCACTATTACTAACCCTTAGTAAATTAATCAATTCAAGCAGTGGCCAATTGTTTAAACTAATTAACTTCCTAGATCATTTATTTGGATTAAATAAGATTTGTAATTGGTTAATCAAGTTGGTGATTCAATTAACCTCTTGTTTGTTGGTTTCTCAAACAAGCTCACACATTAATTTACCCATTCTCTAATTAATCCTAGTTTCATGTTCATTATTCCTAGACATATGATGAATTGTTCACATAAACATATGAGGTTAACAACTAAGAGATGTTCATGCAGCTTAATTGTCTTCCAATTAACAGAAAACAGTTATGGTTAATGCATAAGGTTCTTTAACAAACTTAATTTAATAAAATCACCAATAAAAAATTAATAAAAGTAATAATCAAACCATAGGAGTAACTTGGTTTTTCCTAAACAGAAACAACACGAATTTAGCTCATGATTACAGTGGAAACAAGCTCAAACACGAATTTAACTAAGCTAGTCATGATTCAGTCCTAAGATTAAGTGGAAAATATAACCTAATTCTCCTTGAGTCTTCAAAAGATCAAAGGTTAGGGTTCTTCAGGTCTCCAAAGGGTTCTTCAATCACAGGTGTATCTCCCAAAAAAGCCAAAAAAGTGTCCAATTCGGAATAAGATTCAATATTTATACTTATCAAAAAACAGGGGCAACTCGGCGAGTAGGTCCCCAACTCGCCAAGTAGATGTGGAAAATCCGTGTACGGCAAGGATTCTTGACTTTTCTTCGGGAACATTCTCGGGAATTCGCCGAGGAGATTCGTAGACTCACTGAGTAGCTCCAGATGTCTTCTTTTTCTTTATTCTTTGGTCTCTAATTGCTTCTCCTTATTCCTTTTTGCTTCCAAGCATGTCTTCTGGACTAAAAACACAATTTATACATTATTAAGAACCTTTTATCCATATTATGCACATAATAGCTAAAAATGAATAAAAATCTATACTAAACATATGGCTAATTATGCACATATCAAAATACGCCACACTTGACTTTTGCTTGCCCCTAAGCAAAACTAAATTTTAGCACATTATAATCACATAGGACAACTCCAATCGAACCCAACCATTATACCAAGACCGCAACGCATGCATTTGTGTCTAAAATTTTCCTAAGGAACACCCCATACTCTAAATACTCACAATACTCATAAACATTTGCCCACTTTTTCTGAACAATGCTCATTTTATGCATCCCTGTGAATCCATCCGCAGAAAACCTCCTAAACTCAAGGTATGTTTGGTTGAGCAACCCAAGCATACATAATCTAGACAATTACAATTTATGATACCACTATGGAGATCTTTTGGAATTCTTCACTTGTTTGACATTTGATCTTTAATTTCTTTGAATTCACCACCTTATTGTTTGATTTTTGGTATCTTCAACTTTTTGAATTTCTTCATAATTTTTGATCTTTTAACTTCATACTTTAAATTTGATGCTCCCAAAATTCTTCAAACTTTTTCTTGTAATTCTCTCTTTTTTTTAACATGTAACTCACTCTTTTTTTTTCATTCAAAACCCTAAATGCTTAAGCAGGGGCGCTCAACTTCAACCTTTATTGGTTAACGATAATAATTTTCCTAGATACATTTCGGGTACACGATGCTAAACATATTGCATCCTTCAAACTAAGTGAGGTCATGTTTTTGTCCCATGATTTCACTAGAATAAGAAAGCCACAAATGCACTAGAACGTATATAGGCTCAACTAAACATTTGGGTTTTCATGCAATCCTCAACATAATTCTAACATGGAATCCTAATTACTTTTTACCAAAATTTTCTAAATTAAGTCCTAAGTAACATTTTTGGTATGCAAGAGATGATTTTTTTTAAAATAGACCTAAATTAGGATATTAAGATTCTAAAATTACTAAGATGTAACCAACCCCTACCCCACAATTAATTCATGCAATGTCCCCATTGCATGTTATGTACGAAAAATAAAAATATGAAATATAGAGAGAATTGGAACAAACTCCCTTGGGGTAGCAGTTGCCAAGCTGATTTTCTTCAATTAAGCTCTTACTTTGAATGACTTTAGAAGTGGTAACAGATCATCCATGTCTCGGGTGTCATGTCGCGTGTGGTAAATAGGTAAATGACTCAAATATTTAGGCTAAAGCTCCTAGAAACCTCCAGTAATGAATCTTCATGAAAAATATGGATTAGGACGGCAATGAATGTGCCCAAAACAACTCTGGTGTAACGTCGTGTTCTAAAATATTCGTTTATGGAATTTCAGAGGCCAAGGCCAGGGGCATTT